TTTTACTTTGATTTGGGCTTGAATTGGGCAGCTTATGGGCCTGCTTCGAAGTCACTTGGGCCTAAGTGCTTTCGGCCTTGATATGGAACACATTTCTGGTCAAGTCTTGGCCGAAAAACTGAAACGTTATTGTCATGATCCCGGACTCCGTGAAAAACTTGAGTGACAGCCTTGGATAGCATGACACGAAGCACTCGAGCTCTAGCATGAGTAAGAGGGGGCTTGGGTCTATGGCTTGCTCGGGGAGCCTTCGCGTTGTGCACGTCAAATCCCGTTCCTGCGGCTTCGAATGATCTTGTGACGTTATGATCATCCGGCAAGAGTCTTGACGCCTGATGGGTCAAGTCTTGAACATGTTCTAGAGCTCCTTCCGTTAAGCTCCTGTCCTCGTCCAAGTTGCTAGCTCCGATGTCCTCATCACGTAGTCTACTGCAATGAGAATATACATATTCCCATGTGAAGAAGGAAACGGACCCATGAAATCGATGCCCCAAACGTTAAATTGTTCTATTTCCAGGATGTAGTTTTGTGGCGCTTCATGGCGCCTCGAAATGTTTCCCGTTCTTTGGCAAGAATCACAGGTGCTGACGAACCTGTAGATGTCTTTAAACATCGTTGGCCAGTAAAAACCTGCTTGCAAGACTTTTGCCGCTGTTTTTGAGTTAGCGAAATGTCCTCCTAGTTCGACGAATGACAGTGGTGGATCACCTTATCTACTTCCTCTGCATGAATACATCGTCTGAATAGCCCGTCTGTCCCCCTTTTGAACATATATGGTTCATCCTAGAAGTACTTCTGAGTTTCTTTCATGAACTTCTTCTTGCCATTGTAGTTCAGATCGGAAGGGAGGATATTAACTGCCAAGTAGTTAACTATATCAGCGTACCAAGGTATGCCATCTTTCTTAGCGACTGCAAAAACGTGATCATCTCTCATGGTGTCATCGATAGGGATGTCGCGTTCAGTCACTATCCTGGATAGGTGATCTACGACACCGTTTTCGATCCCCCTCCTGTCCTTGATTTCCAAATCAAATTCTTGTAGGAGGAGGATCCATCTGATGAGGCACGGTTTTGCGTCTTTTTTCGACAGCAAATATCTTAGGGCCGCATGATCTGTGTATACTATTACTTTGGAGCCCACAAGATAATATTTGAATTTCTCTAATGCGAAAACTACCGCCAATAATTCTTTCTCAGTGGTGGTATAGTTGACTTGAGCTTCATCTAGCGTCTTGCTAGCATAGTATATGGCGTGTAGTTTCTTATCCTTGCGTTGCCCTAACACGGCTCCTACGGTGACATCACTAGCGTCACACATTAGTTTGAAGGGTTGGCTCCAATCCAGAGGTTGGATCACTGGAGGTGAGATTAGAGCTTCTTTCAACTTTTTGAACGCTTGGTGACATTCAACTGAGAAGTGGAGTGCGGTGTCCTCGCACAATAGCTCGGTAAGGGGTTTTGAGATCTTAGAAAAGTCTTTAATAAATCTACGATAGAATCATGCGTCGCCCAAAAAGCTTTGGATTGCTTTGATATTGTGAGGGGCGGTAGTTTCCCGATTATCTCGATTTTTTCTTTATCTACCTCTATCCCTTTTGATGACACCTTGCGTCCTAGCACGATGCCTTCTTGTACCGTGAAATGACACTTTTTCCAATTAAGTACCAGGTTTGGTCGTACGCATCGATCCAAAACTTTTTGGAGGTTCGCCAGACACAAGTCGAAGGAGGGCCCGTGAACAGAGAAATCATCCATGAATACTTCCTTCACGTCTTCTATGATATCAGAGAATATTGCCATCATGCATCGCTGGAAAGTAACGGGTGCGTTGCAGAGGCCGGACGGCATTCTACGATACACAAATGTCCCGTACGAGCATGTGAATGTCGTCTTTTCTTGATCTTGCAGATGAATCAGAATTTGGAAGAATCCCGAAAATCCATCGAGGAAATAGAAATACGAATGTAGGGCCAGCCTTTCCGACATCTGATCGATGAACGAAAGTGGAAAGTGATCCTTCCGTGTATTGGTGTTCGATTTTTTGTAATCGATGCACATACGCCATCCATTGACGGTTTGTGTCGGTATTAATTCATTTTTTTCATTCGTGATCATTGTCATTTCTCCTATTTTAGATACCACATGCACTGGGCTTACCCATGAGCTATCTGAGATAGGATAAATGATACCGGCATCCAGCAATTTCAGTATCTCCTTTTTTACTACTTCCTTCATCGCGGGGTTGAGTCTACGTTGACGTTCTATTGAGGACTTGTCTTCATTTTCTAAGTGGATGCGGTGCATACATAATGATAGATTTATCCCTTTTATGTCATCTAGAGTGTATCCTATCGCTCTTCTGTACTGTCTGGGTAAATTTAGCAATTTCGCGATTTGACTAGGTGTTGTTGATTATAATTGGATAGGTTTCCTCTTCCCCTAGGAATACGTCTTTCAGTCCGGAAGGCAAGGGTTTCATTTCGACATTAGGAGCTGATTTTACGTCCCAATCACTTGTTCCCCTTGCTCTCGTTAGGTTGGAATTCTCGTCGAATTCGAGTTTGTTTAACAGTGGGGAATGGTCTTCTAGACTCCTGTCACTATTTTGGACATGGTCTACTCTGCAGAGGGCTTCGACAGGCACTGATGTGGATTGGATGTTAGCTTCGTCCTCCTCATAACTATCTAGTGCCCGAAGTTATTCGTTTACCTCTTCGTTGTCCACGTATCCATCTCCCTCTGTAGCTTCCAAAGCCACTTCCAAGGGATCAAGATCGCGAAACTCTTCCAAGAATTCATCTGCTAGAGCATCCAACGCATCGATGTAACAAGCGGAGTCTACAGACATTGGTTGCTTAAGGTTCCTATCTAGTGTGAACTCGACTGTTTCACCTCCGATCTTTAAGGTGAGTCTCCCTGCTCTTACATGCACAATTGCATCTGCTATGTTTAAGAAGGGCCGACCAAGGATAATAGGTATTCTCGTGTCTTCATTCATTTCCATCACTACAAAATCTACTGGCACATAGAAGTCACCTTCTTTTAAAGGCACGTCTTCTAGTATCCCGAGGGGGTATTTAATTGATCGGTCCACTATTTGTAGTGCCATCCTTGTTGGTTTAAGTTCCCCTACGTTTAGCTTCTTGTAGATTGAAAGAGACAACAGGCTAACGCTTGCACCAAGGTCACATAATGCTCTATCTATTGTTACATTGCCTAGTTTGCATGGAATTGAGAAGCTTCCTAGATTGGTCATCTTAGGGGGTAGTTCATGCTTCAAAATGGCACTGCATTTTGGACTGAGGGTCACTGTTTCCGTTTCAATTGTTATCTTCTTTGCCAGAATATCCTTTAGGAATTTAGTATAGGAAGGCATTTGAGTGATGACTTCATGGAACGGTATAGTAACTTCCATTTTTTTCATCATCTCAGCAAATTTCACAAATTGACTATCCTCGTTAGAATTTTCAACCGTTCGGGATACTGTATACGAGGTGGCTTTGCGGCGGGGGGTATATAAGCGGATATCCCTTCGTTTTGGTTTTCAGGATGAGATGGTATTTCTGGGGTCGTAGCATTCAGAACTCCGACGTCCTTGGAGTTGGAACATTCGCCAGTCTCTACTCCGCCCCTTTTTCGTTCCTCTAATTGTCTGCCACTTATTAGTGCTATAGCGTGGCATTGTTCTTCGGCTATGTTGGCTACTTGTGCATCTAAAATGAGCAAGTGATTCTCAATATTGCTTACTCTCTCTTTTATCAGCTTTTGGTCATCATTAATCTCCTCTAGTTTAAGCTTTAAAGACTGATGCCCTTGAACTAGAGTCTTTAATAGAGACATAACATTATCTTGATCATGTGGGGCAATCTGGTCTATCGAGAATACTTGGGAAGGAATGAGCTCGATCGGTTCAGTTATAGCGCATGCGTCTGTACACGGCTTTTCTTTTTCTGAACGAGGAAGTTCTAGTTCTTTGATTCGTGACCTCGGGTAGATACAGATCTAAGATGGTTCAAGTCTGATTGAACTAATTCAAGTTTGTGAACCTCCTCATTTTCTTCCCGAGGTACCAGGTAGTCAAATACGTGTTCATTTGCCATTCTATCAATCTTCTCCTCTAATTCGACAAAGGGCATATTATATAAATTGCCTTTACATGCTGCATTGATCCAAAATCTTGTCTCCTCTCTTAGGTTGGTGAGGAAATTAGCTATCAGGTACTTTTGACTGAGTCCATGATGTGGACATGATTGCTGATAGTTCTTGTATCTCTCCCACGCTTCATATAAGCTCTCGTATTTTTCTTGCGAAAATGAGTTTATCTTTCCTCTTATGGACATAGTTCTTTCAGGAGAGAAAAATCGCACCATGAATTTATTGTGAAGTTGTTCCCAAGTATGGATGGAATCTAGTGGAAGCGTGTATAGCCATTCCAATGCTTTTCCTGATAGGGAGAAAGGGAAGACCAAGAGTAATACTGTTTCCTCAGAGGTTTCGTTGGGTAACTTGAGTGACTGACATTGCATCTTAAAATGATTCAAATGCAGATTAGGAGATTAGGGTCTTCATCTAGAGTGCCTTTGAAACTAGAGGTAGAAAGCATTTGCAAAAATGCATGTTTAAGCTCAAATTGACTCCTGTCGATGTTTGGTCTCCTGATGCATGATAACTACGGAGTATGTTTTGGAGCAGTGTAGTCTCCAAAAGTAAGCGCTTCATTTCGCTCTACTGCTCTCGGTGGAGCAGTGTTGTGCGCAGGATGGTCGTCAACATTTCTGTTATCTTCCATTGTTTCTAATCTCCTTCGTTGCCTTAGGAGTTGAAGAGTTCTTTCGATCTCTAGATCAGGAGGAAGTAAGTTTGACTTCCACGGCTCCTGATCATAAACCAAAGGAATCAAAGTTTCGATTCCCAAAAGAGGGAAATCAAGTGATGGTGAAAGAAAGTAGATGGTTTTGGAAAACTAGAATCTAACCGGCACCAAGACTAAATCTCAGACCCTGGCAACAGCGCCAAAACCTTGATCGTGCAAATCTAGGTGAATGGATTTGAGTAATAAAAACCTAGACTAAACCGATTCCGCAAGGGTGATTCGATGTAGTACCAGGGTCGAACTCAGGGACCGAGAGGTGATGGTGTCGATGATGATCCTAGTAAGAATATAGCGCAAGATTTGTTGGTTGGTTGGAAAAAACTATAATTAAAAGCATTGTAGGTTCGGGGGTTCACCGATGCTACGAATTATCTAAATAGATGTAGCTGGATTGCAGTCTGAGGTCGATTTGGGAAACTCTAGCTTCTATCCTAGAACGCGTCCGGACAGGGATCTATCGTTCTCTAATTAACGCTTTCCTATCAGCTTCGCGTCTTTAGGTCTACGTTAGAAGCATTAAAATCCGCTATCATAGTTCCTAGGTCGAATTAAGAACTCCTTATCAAGTCCAATCTATGCATTCAGAATTAATAATTGAACCTATCTTATGAACGAATTCTGGTATTAATCAATCCAAATTCCTTTGCAATTAACTAATCCAAGTTCAATTCTATAGAGTGATCAATCCTAAGAAAGCATTACGTTCAACTCATAAAACCGGATCTAATTTAGACATGCATTCAACCGTTTAAGAGTATTGATAATTCCGTAACATGGCTAGATTCCCTAGCCTACAACAAGTAAACTACTCACACATCATGGAGAAAGGCGAAATAAACATGGATTCATACAACATTTCAATAGAAGAAGGAATAGAAGACTTATAATATCTAGAATCAATCCTTGAACAATGAAATGTAGCAATTTTCACTCTAACTCGTCCCCCAAAGAGTCAAGAAACGAAAAATTATCCAAAAGTATCGAAAAATGTGTCAAAAGTCGAACCCTCTCTCGGTTTTCGTACGGTCTTTTTATAGACATTTCGAAATATCGACGTTAAAAACCTCGATATCGATGTTTTCTAACGTCGATTGATGACTCCTATTTTATACTATATTTTGGGTGTTTGGAGGAGTCATACGCATATGTATGTTGCATGTTTAGGTACTGTAGGCACCCTATACCCGCTTTGTTGGTTCCCTCTTGTGGTCTGCAGGAAAACGGGATCAAAGGACGGATTTTGCTCAGAGATATGGCACACGGTCCGCGCCATTATCCCAGAGAAGAGGTTTGCTAAGAAATCTGACATGTCCCGCGGCAGAAACCAACACGGTCCGCGCCATGACCCGAAGAATTGGAATTTGCTCAGAAACTTTGAACGATCCGTGTCACAGTTGGCGCGGTCCGAGTTACTTATCCGGACTTTGACCTAGTCTTGGCTAAAAAGACGAGGGGACGGAAGAAAGGAGGGGGGAGGAACCAGACAAAGGAGGAGAGAAAACTCTAAGCGAAGAGAGGAAGACTGGAGACATCAGATTCATGAGCCTTTCTCTATTCTTCCCTTCTCGCTTGTTTATTGTTTCCCGACACTCCGTTATAACGATTGAGTAGATCACCCATCTGTGGGATTAGGGTTTTGTTCAGTGTTCTAGGTATGTTTGTGCTTTAACACGGATTTGCATGAGTGGATTTGGTTTTGTTCATTCGTTTCTTGTTCTTCATTCTTTGGTTGATTGAATGCTAACCCCATGATCAATACCCTAGAATTGAATGGCATAGAGATACAGTTCGATAACTAGGTCGTGAAATTGGATGAAGGATCGAATATCGCTATCGAGAGATAGGTTAGACGGATTAGGGTTTATGATAGAGTTCTTCATGCACTTGGTTTTTGGTGGGAGTTATAGAGATATAAGTCATCGAAAACCCGGTAGTAGGGTCTAAGGCTGAGAGGTAAATTCCTTATATAGTGGTTGCTTGAAATCCCTAAATCAATCCAAGAATGTAGAATTCGCTGTTGGTTGTGATGCTCTAGGATGATCCGTGATATGACATTTTGACTTTGTATTGATTCATTGATTTATGAATGCATTACTTTTCCCGTTATATGATTAGCATGTTTGTTATATCATGGTAAATATCCTTGAATCATTGCAGATGATTCTAAATTCCCTGGTCAGTTATCATTGTGGGAACAATGATGAATTAAGACCAGCATGATGTGTGATAGATGATTATAATAATATGCATTAGATTCAAATCACAATCATGGGTTCTCGTTTGGAACGAGTTACTGGATGACCCGCATGAGATTGTCACATGGACATGAGTCATGACTTGAATCTCATACAGCGGTTCGTTCTTGGATCCTCAGACCTGAGATGTCTAGAGTATCTGATATGAGGAGTGACGTGTCTTGACTGCGTCAAACGTCGTCTTTAACCGGATGATCATAACGGCGTTGCTCAGATACGTTCACGAATCATATGCAGATAGTAGACATACAATACGGGACTTGTCACCTCCTACGCAGGAGAGATGTCGCTGGGCCCCTCGTGGAAATCGGACTGTGAAAATGCGTGGCCACGCTATAGATGAATGTACATCTATTTTATCAGTCGGTTTGCCTAGACGAGTAAGCGGTTGAACTTGAAGGGTGGCTCGAACCATGCCCTTGTTCAACATACGACATCGTGAGACAAAGGATCAGAACTCGAACTATTGCTGGCTTTGTTAGATCACCTCTAACTCTATTCTAGGTGGGTGGTCATGGCGTCTTGCTAGAGACTAACCATGACTTGTGGTTCGGGAAAGGTTTCCGAAGCCACTGCCACTTCGAATGGGCCTACAGGGTCACACACCATTAGGGATGGATCACACGTGAAAACCGATGTCCTTGACTTGGAATCGATATTCCAATCTCTATAACTCGAAATCAAGCTTCTCTAAGCTCTCATTAGAATCTAGGACGTCTGAGGTTCTTACTCTAGGGTTTGTGGCGGCTCACTAATTAATTAGGATTGCCCAAAACCCTTAAAACGCGAAAACCGAAAACTGCCCGTAAGTCGGACCGTCCGTTCCAGGCCTGGAACGGACGGTCCGACTTACGGGCAGTTTTCGGTTTTCGCGTTTTAAGGGTTTTGGGCAATTCTAATTAAAGAGTGAGCCGCCACAAACCCTAGAGTAAGAACCTCAGACGTCCTAGATTCTGATGAGAGCTTAGAGAAGCTTGATTTTGAGTTCTATTGATTGGAATATCGATTCCAAGTCAAGGACATCGGTTTTTCAATTCACAAATCCTAGCAGATACGTTCCAAACTGTTGGAATTCATCCCGCCGGTGTGGATACGTGTAGAGGAGTTGTGCTTTCAACTCTCGGTGATTAAAACAGGCCCTGGATCGATTGATACTTCCAGATCTTGAAAGAACGAGGTAAGTATTCGAATCCCACGACGATATACACGATTGTTCGGGTTATTACACAATTGGTTTTGTGTGACGTTTGGCTAGGTTTAGATCTTTCCTTGCGCTGCGTGAAACCT